TATATATAATATATATATCGATCTCTCCTACACATACACACAAACGCACTATGTCTTTCGCTTTCTGTTTGTCCCTTTTTCTGTCTCTTTCGCAGAACTACCAACAACTTGTTCAAAAACGCAAGGTATCTCTTAACGAGTTCCAGCGATCAATATTAATAGTTCATCTTTTAAGTGAAAATCTCACTTTGTTGAGAATATAAACAAAAGCCTTTCACCTTCCACAGCAGATTTCGATTTTTTTCCCTAGCATACGTGTAGAATTACAGTTCCACTGAATTCTGCATAAAAGTAAATTTGACCCCACCCCAGGCATCGTGGTGAATGTTTACACAACTATATGGCCGGTCAAAAGTGCATGTCCTTTCCACAGTTGGTGTTTTGGGGATAAACCCTTTAGTACTTAAGCCTGTGAACATACTCGATGTTGACGCATTTCTTGAAATCCCAGCTGCTGACACATACACGGCTCCTCCTTCTCTCTCTTTCTCTCTCTCCCCCTTCTTTTCCTTCTTTTGTCTATCAGTCCGTCTGTCTGTCTGTCTCTCTTCCAACACACACATACACACACACACACACACACACACACACACACACACACACACACACACACACACACACACACACACACAAATACAACTGGAGCGCTCAATACATCCGATCTAAACAAAACAAAAAAACGTGACAAAAATGCTGATCACACCAATTCTGTCACGAGTCATACAACATAGCGACTTCCTCTAGTTCCCGTTCCCAGTCAATCGTTCGTATCAAAACAGCACCAAGGCCATCAAGCAAACCTAACTAATGAGCACGTTTTCATTCCAATTGTTCCTTCCGTTTGAAGTGTTGAAACAGGCCTGAAATGCTTCGACAAAAGTCAACAGCAACGGCAAGAACAACAACTTCCAATCCATCATCACCACCACCACACATCAACAGCAACAACAGCAGCAGCAGCAGCAACAACTATCATCACTACCACCATAACACCAACAACACAACAATGACTACAACAATGATAGTAACAACAACAACAACAAAAATCAAATTCAACCCTTGCAGCAGCGGCAACAGTAACAACAACAAAAGCAACAACAACAGAAACAACAACAACAGTTATTACTGAGAAATTACAATCACATTTTTAAAAAGCAGACAAGCTACAACACAGAGACGACAACAACAACAACAACATCAAATAAACAGTCATCATTATGAAATTACAAACAAAATAAGAACACAGACAAAAAAAGCTTCACAAATCATTTAATACATTTCAGAATTCTGAACAACAACTCGCTGACTTTGACAAAGAAAACAAGCAAACACGTCCAGGACATAAAAGCGTGCAGGTAAAAATCACACTCACAGCATTCAGATAAATAGACGGGGGGAAACTGGTTGATAACAGTTGGAAAGTACACAGTAATTCTCTGTTGTAAATAAATTTACGACAACACTGGCACAGTATTATTACATAAAAATTCAGGAGGAGGGCTGCCTTGGCCCTGACGGTCAGAGGTAAACCTGTGCTGAGCTGGATAAAGTATAGGCCTACCTCCACAGCCCTTCAGATACAGACAGGAGCAAGTAAAGTCTCCATAACGATTCTCTTGGGTCCTCTGTGCATCCAACACAATAGTGAGTTTATTGTATGGTATGGTACATGAAGTAGTTCTCCATCCCTTTCAACACTGTTAAAAACTGTTTTCTTCAATGCAACGGAGCTATGTTGGCGGCAAACCATGAATGAAAAGTCACCACACAACCAAAATGCATCCGCTTTGTAGCCAATAATGTTACCAGCTGAGCTAACAGCATCAAAATAATTATATTAATAATAACAATAATATTAATAATAATAATAATAATTATTATTATTATTATTATTAATATCATCATCATTATTATTATTACATTTGTATGGTGCATATCCACTCTCTACAGATTGCTCTTTGCATTTTACATCTATTATTACCCTAGTAGACCCCAGAACACTCAGAAACATTCTCGGCTTCTCAGGAAGCGAACAGTGCAAGCAGCTGATTGATGCTCAAACATTAACAAGTTGACACGATCTTTATCTATAGCCAGGAACCTACTCCCACTTGAGCAACATGAGGAACATTTGTGTAGCGTGCCTTTTCCAAGAACACAATGTTGGGCCCCTAACGGGAATTGAACCCATGACCTTACAGTAGAAAGTCCAAGAGCTTAACGGCACAGATCTTTGAACCTTTAAAAGATTGTCTATAATTCTTTTTCAAAACCATATTCTTTATTCAAGACGAAAAAGTATCTGACCAGGAAGAAAAAATATTAAAAGGGCTTTACAATATTCTTATCTTGTATGTTTTTATAGTACAGTCAAACCTGCCCTGACGGCCACCTTTATAAGACGACCACCAGTACATACGGCCACTTTCCATTCCCCCCCTTGCGTTTTTTCTATATAATTTAACTGTGTAAAACGGGCACCTGTCCAACGCGGCCGCGGTCCCCATATTTTAACACACAACCCCTATCACACAAAGCAATAACACCTGTCTTAGACGGCCACCTTAGTGACTCCATTACGTTTTGTCATAACTTTTGAATTGGCCCCTGGCGTTGTGGGCGAGCCATCATAATTCAATCACCTGTCGTTGTTGTTAGGTAGTCCCTACAACCGATCATGTTGCGTAGGCCCCTCCCACTGTTGACCAATAGCTACCAATTTTCAGCTGCTGGTGAGGTAAGTGTGTGATCCCTCATAACCCATAAGCCCCGCCCAGAATTCATGCGCAAATCGTAAGTGAGATGAGTGGTCACTGTTTACCCAGTCTAACAAAGTTACAATCGACGTCAACATGAAATTGTGACAGAAGCGTCGCTCGTTCTCCGAGTGGTGGCGACCCATGTGTTTGTTTTAACATGGCACTCGGTCTTCCTCGTCTGGTACATTTCGTTTTATTGTCACCCTTGTGCAAAATCAGCAACACAATAAAAATTACAAACAAAATACAAACCACCACCACCAACAACAACAACAATGCGGCTACTTTCGATTGGGACCTCAGATGGGAATGGTTTGTTTTCTTCATCTTGATCAGTCCTGCCTAAGACGGCCACCTGTCTTATACAGCCACTTTTCTCCCTGACAATGGGTGGCCGTCTTACACAGGTTTGACTGTACTTGCTGGACCAAAGCAGGGGCGTCAAACTCAATAGTTCAATATTATGCACCCAAACTTCCCCCTTCATTTTAATACTTTCAATTGTTCAACATTTTTTTTTACAAGCAAGGATTATCACAGTTATTGAATTGGATCTCTCAGACAAACAAAATTATGTCAAAATACAAAAACCAGTAAGTCAATAATTGTAATTATTTCACAGAGGTCAACAATGTACCAGCATTAGGATACACTGTATTTTTCAGTATCTTTAATGGTAAGCAATAACAGACAGATATAGAAATTCATTTGAACCAGCAGCATTAAGGTACATACAGTGCTATAAATAAAACAACAGAGAAAGAGAGGGAGACGGAGAGGGAAAAGGGAGAGAGGGAGAGAGAGAGAGAGAGAGAGAGAGAGAGAGAGAGAGAGAGAGAGAGAGAGATAGAGATAGACAGACAGACAGACAGACAGACAGACAGACAGAGAGACAGAGAAAAAGAGAGACAGAGAGAGAGAGAAAGAGAGACAGAGACAGAGTCATTGAGAAGGAGGAGAGTTTATGAAAGCACAAGGTTTATGAAGTATCGGTGGAGCATACAGTACCTGCTGACTCTGAGCTCTCAAGTTTGAAATCTATTACTGGCATTAGGACCAGAAAGTTTCTTTAAATACAAGTTTCACGGCATTTATAACACAATTAAGTTTTTTTTAAAGCCAGAAATTAAAGTTATAATGAGAGAATAAAATACAAAGAGAAAAGAAAGACGACAGATATAGATATGGATGATAGATATTTAATAGAAAACAAGGGCCTAGGGATAAATCCCACCAGGGCAACTGCCAACCACCAACAATAACAGCTTGTAAAAGCACAAGGTTAATGAAGCATCAGTGGAGCAAAAAGTACTATACAGTTCCTACTTGTTCTAAACTATCAAAGCTGAAATCTGTTACAGTTACAGACCTCCTGAAGTACGAAAAGACAACTCAGGAAGTCATTTCTCAACTTAATACTGTTGGGTGGTTCTTTTCTTTTTCATTTATAATTACAGATGGGGTATTAGATACTGGGAGTCTCCTTTTAAGGGTTGTGCTGACTGAAACCTATAGCAGAAACCAATGACAGTATCACAGAAAGGACTGGAAGACCCTTTTCTGCTAAAAAGGAAAGTCGTATTTTTCATGGAAAAGTAAAATGATTGATGATGATGATGATGATGATGATGATGATGATGATGATGATGATGATGACAACCATATCCCTGTTGATGCTGGTGATGATGATAATGATGGTTCTTGTAGCACAACAAAAGCAGTTGTTGCTACCTTTCATACTAATGCACCAGACAAAGGACAAGCGAAGAAACTTAGAAAGGAGCCTTTTTTACATTTAAAGAGAACTTGATCAGGTTGTGGTCACTGTTTTTTTATATTAAGCTGTAGACAAGGTCCATCTATAGGCCACTTATTATGTATATTTCAAATGTTTTTTATCCCCATTGACACAATTCAGGTACTTTGGGAGGCTGGCTGCTCCAACCATGCCCGTCACAGTCAATCTGGGGGAGTGGGACACATCTGAACTTC